CCCCCACCATAGACACCTGCGGTCCAGAGTTTTGCAAACATCTCAACATCATTGAAGCTATATTTCGCAATGTATAACTTGCCGTTAAAAAGAGTAGGCATTAAATAATAAGTTAAAATTGTGATTGTAACTGCGGCCTCAACTTAACTGGGTTCGTTGCCGATTTAGGCCCCCCAGATCAATCCCGCTGACGGGGGATTGCTGATGGCAAAAGATCGCCAGAACTAGCTGAGAGACAGGCAAAATGAAGGACCCGCATGATGTGGTGGTGAACGCGCTACTTCCCGGAAAGGACAATAGCGCGTTCGTTCCCCACCTCATACACCTGCGGTCCGGAGTTTTGCAAATATCTCAGCATCATTGAAGTAATATGATGATCCTACCAACTTCGAGAAATCAACATAATGAACAACGCCGTCCTAAATTTAAGCTGAAGAAGCGAGTGCACTGAGATATTTGCAAGTGCACAGAAAGCTTCATTAAGAAATCTGAAAGCACAAGAGTGCCATTTATCCCACTCCACGGTTTGTCCCGTCTTCACAGATGCCTCGAAATCGGGACCTTCTCAAAATACTCAGTTTGTCAAGCGTTCCAGGCTTATCTTCCTCCGAGACTCCACGCAACGCTTGGTCGATCGTGCCCTCGGATCGGATAACTCGTCCGGGATCGAGCGACTTCTTCGCGTTTGTTTTTGCTTTAAGCTTTATACAGAATGGTAGAACCACTGAATCCCGCCAAGTATCGAACGTTTTCCGGGACCTGTAGAGAGTGGGGTGTCTCTGATACGATCAATCTGTTTGATCTCTATAAAATTCACTCTCTGCTCGTTTCGTAACCAACTAAAAATATTTTTTAATGCGAATGGTAATGGTGACTTCTTTATGCTTTAATTATGTCCTCTGAAACATATTTCTGGTAGTTAGTTTGTTCTGGACGTTTTGTGAACATGTCAAACAGCAGATTGTGTGGAAAAGCCTGAATGAGAAGATGTACTTAAGAATTGTTTCAAATGGTAGGATAACGCTGATCCTTCTTCCCGTGTTTGTCACGTCCATTTCCATTCATCCACTTCCCTATCTTTGCAAATTGCTGTTCATTTACAGAGCTCCGCGGTGGGCAGTGTTTTTCGTGGAGATGGACGACTAATTGTCAATTCATTTGTACCTTTGATATGAATGTTGCGGAAAATGCCAATGCAACTGGAACAAGGTGTCCTGGTAGCGATCCACTTCATGTTTTTCATGATGACGTTGTTGCAGTATCGAGCAGAGTAAATTACTGTATTAGCATTCTTTTGTTTTCTTTTATTGTGCAAAATTGAGGTACGTCGTTGCGAAATTCCTCTCAACGGTTTACCGCCTCAGCACGGTTGGAAGGTGTTCCTGGGTGTCGGGCTGCGATGCACAGTGGGGCGATTCATCCTCAGCAGTGTCTCCCAAGCTGAGGAGTCCGGCGTTTTGATCAGGAAGCCCATCTAAGGGTTAACCAGTACCAAGATCCACCCCCGTCCTGGTACCAAACCAGTCGCATGGTGGCAAACCTCCGTGATCCACGGGAGTTGCGACTGCCTGTGATGGTGACGACCAAGGACAGTCTTTGGCCTAGCTGACCTCGGCACTCCAGGGAACCCTGAGTTCTAAACCAGCAAAACTCCAAAAAATGGAGATTATGCTGGGGCCCGCACAGCCAGGGCCCCCCCCCCCCCCCCAAGCAAGTAAGTAAGTTGAGAAATTGAGCTGCAGAAGCCTTTCTTCTTTACAGGTTTCGTTAACCAAGGTGTACGTTTTCATTGTGTTACGTGCCAGTTTTAGATTCCAGAAACATTCGACTTTGGAACGGTCTCTGTGGAATTGACTTGCATCGCTTCATCGTCCACTAGTATCATTCTGGGTTCCGGATGTGGAGCATTGTTTGTCTACAACAGAAAACTCGCCAAGTTCGCAAGACCGTAAGTTTATGTGATTCAGATGTCTGCTATGCATGGAGACAACATTTTATCAGATTTTTTGAAATTATTTCCGTGAGGGTAAGAATTATAAGAAGTGTTTCTTTAAAAGTCACCTCATTTTTTTTTTTGGTATTTTGCAACTATGCTTTCTTCAGATATGACAGTTTTCGTTTAGACACCTAGCATTTTCGTTCTGCAGGAAGTCTTTTGATGTAAGTTCACTTCAGATTGCGTACTAATAGTTTCGAGGCGGTTACTTGTATTCACCACGTGCATCTGCTCGACGACTTCGTTGCCGTTGGGCATAATACTGGAACCTTAGTAGTTATGCGCTTGCCAAGTGGCCGAAAGGGAGCAAGTACATCGGTGAGCACTTGTATGCAGTGGAATTTGCGATTGTGTTTCGAGGTAATTTCGGCATTGTTGTGTTCGAAGTTATGCAACTCCGGTTTTTCATGGCCCCTACATAACAATGACAATTAAACGCTTAGTACTTACTTGGGTACTTGAATGGCCTATCTTCAGTGTTGTCCGGGTCCCAACGTAATCTCTATTCTCCGGAGATTTAATGCTTTAGCTATTGTCGTTTCCTGGAGTCCCGAGGACAGCTTGGCAAAAGCCTTCTCCAGGTCATCGTCACCACACGCAGTTGCAGCCCTTGTGGATCAGAGAGGAATTTGCTACCATGCGAGTAATTTGATACCAAGACGGTGCAGTATTGGTTTACTCTTAGCTGGGCTTCCTGTTAGAGACGCCGGCCTCTCACCAGGCCTGCTGTGGGCCTGAATCCCCCTGTTGTACATCGTAGTCTTACACCCAGGAACACCTCCCAGCCACGTTGAAGCGGTAAACTGTTTGGAGGGCTGGGAAGCGCCTAGTTAACTACTGAAAATTGAGAGAGAGTTCTAAGAGTTTACTTCACTCTCCCTTTCCATCATTACTATTATAACAGAGGGCCAACATTAACCAATCCAGAGATTTCAGGGAACCAAACATTATGACTATTTTGCAAAGACAGTGTATTTCCCTCAGCCTTAAAATATTTCCTTTCAGTTGTCTCAGTGTATTGACACAGACGTCCATCGTCGTTCACCCATAACTAATGTGGTCTGGAATTCTGATACAACAAAGGTAGTTCTGTAACCAATTCCTCTTCGCCGTTCTTCTATTAGAGTTATTTTCTATACAGATAGTTTCTGCTGATTGCTATGGTACTATAATATTATCTACTGCGATGTTCGATACGGTATGTGATTTTGTAAATCCATAGAAAATAGAAGCTATTACTTTTTTTCCATTAGTCACTACTTTATCTTCTGCCTGTTAATCTTAGTCTTTTTAAAAATCTTTGGTTCTTTTGCAAAGACTTTTCAGTGTGAATTTTACCACAGTTTCTTGTTCGAGGGACAAGGTTCCGTGTCAGGGTTAGGATTTCTTGGAAATTCAGTAATTATTGATGACGGATTGCAAATGGTGCTTGTTGATTTAGAACCTCCGCATACTTCTCAAGTGGTTTGTGATAGAGAGAACAGGTGAACTGACTTTTTTCCAGACATGTTTTAACCTAAATTCCCATTTCTGTTGTATAAACCGCGTTATGAAGGTATAAATAGTTTACGGTAATATAGTAGAGCTCTCTGCAAAAGAAAGGATAGCCACAAGCACATGACGGCCGATATGAGTGGTGTTCAATGCATTCGGTGCGAAAAGAGTGGGCGAATTCAACATTAAACCAGTGTACACCATTGATCAAATCATTTTTTTATTAAGAGGTTTCTATAACCTAAAGGTTTTCCCCAAGCCATACAAGCCTCCTTACTTCACCAACGTGATCTGATTTCCTAGATAGAAAAGCCATAGAAGAAAGTCTATCCTGTAAATCTCTTATATTCCCAGCTTCATAGATATCAAAATATCTAAAAATTCGTCACCTATCGGAAAACCAGCTTCGGCCGCTTTATGTGCATTGAGTTTAGACAAGGATTATTATGTTTTGTTACATATCGGTTACCATGGTTTCAACTCTTGTGTTATTTCTAGAATTTCTAGGCTTGTCAGTGAACAAATAGTTTTTTTTAGTTTGTTTTTCAAATGTGGTTGCTATGGTACAGTAATTACTATGACAAACAGTGATGCGTGTCTAAATAAATACTTTTAGAGTGGTGATATTAAGTGTGCGATGTACAGATCTATTTGTGTATGTTACTGAAAAGACTCGGATTTGCATATATCCGACTTCTTTTTCGGAATGCGAGAGCATAAGTGCCACGGAAATAGTAAGTTTTGTTATATATTGTTTGATAATATGTAGTAATTGTGGGCATGTAGCGAGGTGGTCGGACGCACCCTGCAGTATACATGGAATCGATCCCGGCACTCTAGACTCACAGAGCCTTCTGTTCCTTCGGAGTAAGCAGATTGGTACTCGACTTGCCTGGGAGGATAGCAGCACTGGCTCAATACATCGCAAGCCACCACGAGTTATTGTAAAGGCTAGATATGCATTCAGTCACCTCCAAACGATGCTTAATCAAGTCGCATGCACGGCGCATCCTTCAGGGATTGATCAACGCCGAGAGCTTCATCTTTTGTCCTTTTATCCAGTAATTGTGCTACCCATACTAATCGATGTTATAATTCGACACATGTAAATAAATAACGGTGGATAGGTAAGGCATAATTTTTTCCGCCTTATTTCATAGTTTAAAACTAATTGGAAAAAGGATGTGCAAATGGAGAAGTGTACATATAATATTGATGTTGGTGTGTTATTCTAGCTTCAGGGTTTACTGTTTATCATAAAGAACATTATATCCGTTTTTTTCTACAACAATAACCCCTTACATTTGTGAGACTGTTTGTTTTGTCAGTGCTCGTTTTGAATTCGTTTGTTTGTCAAAAATCTTAGGTCGGTGATTCTGATTTTGTTCAATCTGTGGAGTGGAATGAATGCGCCGACAAATTAGCTGTCTTAACTTCTAGTGATGTATTCGTTATTTTCTCTATTGCTACCAAGCAGGTGTTATGGAGGACACCAGTCAACGTAGGATATCTCACTCTATTTCATAAAGATTGTAATTTCTTCTGAATTTCTCTTTTCTATCCTTCATTTTACTCTTTCCATAACTGTACACCATTAACTCGGTTTTTTTTTGCAGAACAAGGGCTATTCTATTGGAAATTTCTGTGTTGATCTTGATGACTCCATTTTATACATTACGAAGCCACGTGGTCTCCATCGCGTCGGTGTGTCCTCGATCGCAGATTCTTTATTGGATCAGGGTAGGCTGTCCTAATTTCATATGACATAACTCCTATAACTCCTAATTTGCTTTGAGAAAAATAGGTTTGGCTCAAAAATAACTGTCGTTTCTAAGTTTGGATCAACATGGCTCATGTTAAAATAGGTTAGAATAAAAGGCAATTTTTTATTTTCTTTTTTATGCTACTCTTCTTCACGTCTACTATGCGCATCCCACAACTTCTCGTATTCGATGTTTTCTCGCATCCATCGTACACTAAGGACTTCGAACATATTACGTGTGGCTTCGGCTGTCGCTTGAGGATTCTTCATTTCGTTTTGAATGTCGAAGAATACTGGTTGAGTCGATTCTCCCTAGATTCCTGAGATAACCGGGCTCGAGTGTACCCAGTTGAATTGCGGAGAGTGGACTTCTCCCGTTCACAAGTTCGATACCAGTTTCGCGACGAGGGTGGGAAAGAAGGCCTGGTGAGCCTGTTGCGTGATCGAACCAGCACCACGATTATGATGACCGACATAACTACCATTGTGCCATCCGCCCCTCAATAAAAGACAATGGGATTTATAATCCTTTGTCTACAACATGCAAGTTTCCTTTTTATACCAAGATTGTATTATGATTTCGTGTAACTTATAACACATACTTCCACTTTCGCAAGTCTCGTATTTCGACGACGAACGCAACGGAACAACAGTAGAGAAAAGACTCGTCTTTGAACCTATGTGGTCCTAAATCCCTTAGATGCTCTAATGGTCGAGAAATCATCCTCAGTTTTTGAAAAACCAGGTTTGGGTGTTGTGCGTCAAAGGTTTTCCTTGAGTTTGTTTCTGTCATGCTTGTTCTGTGCGAATAATTTCTTTGTCTATGTTAGGAAGAAGAGCATCTAAGCATGTACCTTACGTATTTTTGAAACAGATAACCTTTCCAGATACTGATTCATCACTTTCGGCCTTACTCGCTTCTCCTCGTAAATTGATCTCGACGGGAGCTTATCGTTTTACCCAGAAGGGCGCCTTCCTTCTCACTTCTGCCATCAGCACAGCAAAGGATATCCCTTTCAGTTCTAGTGGTCTGTTCTAGTCGTTTTTATTCTGTTGTATTTCAGAAGTGTTATCTAAAGCGTTTTCAGTTTCTAACCTCTTCGAAGATGCATTCGATATGACAAACATCAAAGAAGACATTGGAAATTTCGTGCAAAGTGCTAGACGTAGAGATGTCTCTGCTGGAAATGAATATTTTGTAAGTTTTTGATGCAGGAATTGTCTTCCATTGTTGGCGAACATTTCAAGTACTATAGCAAATTGGTGAAGAACCCGTCTCAGATTGTGTTGGAACCGTCCAAAGTGATCCAGTTGGTGATCTTTATGCAGGTGATGTTTAACTGGATGTTAACATACTGTTTTCAAATTTGAGTTTTTTATCATGGCCAATGTACTCTTCATCAAATTTAATGTAGACATCACTGAAGAGCGACTTTTACTTATTTTCGAATTTGATTTAGACATTGTTGAAGAACACCCGGCGGATATCTTTGTGCAACGTAAAGTAAAATTCACTAGACGCAAAATAGGAGAAAGTTCTCGAGAACCCAGTTTCTCTGAATGTTCTTCAGATGATCCACTTTCCATAGATGAAGACAATATTTTGTCGCTTCGAAAGCAGGGTATTTAGAGTCAATTTAAGTTTCGATTTCTGTTTTCGTGCTATGCTTATTTCATTTGTCCTAGATTGTTTCGTTGTTTATTAGTTTCAAATTATAGTTCTCGGAAATACCGTTGTTAGCGCTAGCCATTTCGAACCTGGTACCAGCGTCAACAGCACTTCGACGCACATTGCTGGAGATGGATCACCAACCAGCTGCTCTCGTTTGACATCTACCGAACGTGATTCGTCCACCTCTCTGTTGTCGAGGAGCGCATCTGACGTCCAGTGGAAGCCTTCCAGCAGGAACGGTTTGTTATAGATTTCTAGTTTGATTAATTTGATTAGTTTTAACAAATTCCAAATAAAGTTTAGAGGATGGTCCACATGATCTTTCATCGTTGGGCGAGCACGAAAGATCAATGGGTTCCCCGTATTCCAGGGACGTGCATGGAGGAGCAGAATCAGTGACGCTAGCATACGAATATTTATTGCAGAAGAATGCCCCCAACCCGTCATTTTTAACCACTGAAGTGTGTTTAAAGTCATTTTATTATGTTTCGATATTTCTCCTATAACTTACCCGCCACGGATGTTGAGCCGTCCGTCGTCCGAGAAAAGTTGTATTCTGCATGTAAACACTATGAAAAATCGTTTTTCGGATATACTTGTTCATCTCATCAGGTATTACGACGAAGCTGTTGCTTTTGAAATGGGAACTAGGATTAATTGACGTTCGTTTTTGAGATGAGTACTAGGTTGCTCCACTGAACAGAGTAATAAGTGGGAATATATGGAGAAACCGATTTGTGTGGCGCAAAACATGTGGGTGAATTGTAGTCGTTTTTGTCTTCGATGCTCGTATACTTTGCGATGTCATGGGGCAATGAGTAGAGTGTCAACAGAACTAGTCGTTAACATGTTAGTGATGAATGGTCTTTAGACCAATTCAGTGGATCGTTATGAAAGTGTAAGGGCTAATGATGAAGTTGGCCAGCAGTCGAACAAAAACGTTTTAAGCGATCGAGTTGATATATGGTTAAAGGTTAGGTTTTTTCATACATTTGCTTTATAAGCTTCAATCCACTTTGAATTGTATCTAGATAGTGTCTGTCTGGCAGGTTTTTCTTCCATATACTCCCAAGGCTTTTTCTGTTGGTAGAAAACACCTTGTGTTGTGCCACCAGAGAAAACGTCCTCGTTTCGCTATCCTTGACGATTTGGGATCTAAGAAAGCAAATTGGCAGGTGGCGAAGTGGTCGGCTATGAATGTCGCAATGAATGGTAAGTGCTTATAATAGCTATTCTTTATTGAAGAATCTTGAGTTCAATCGACCATGAATTATTTAGATGATGAGTCCATAATCTGGCGAGTAAGTCATGATATTGGTTGGAGTGCTAGTGGACCACTGTCGGTCTCCACTCGGTTTGAGGAATGTGCAACTGACGGTGGAGGTGTGACTGAGGTGTCACTCGGAGCAAATGTTGCTTGGTATTTAACGAAAATGGGTGTAGGTTCCTATGTTTTTATAACAATAATATAGGTATCGTTTATAAAATCTCGTTTTCAATTGGCGTAGACCAAAGTGTTTATTCTTTCAGGTCTCCTTGCAAATGGAATTGCCAGATAAGGCCATATTTTCGGGTGTAGATCGGGATTGGCCGATGAAATCTATTTCAGTGTCTGACGCTGCTGTTTGGGCAATAAGGTCAGATACTGGAAACCTCGTTGTGCGAGTGGGACTGGCGCGATGCAGAATGGGTCTGGACTGGGTGGAGATTATGTGAGTCCAACCATTTTTTTTTCAATTTGGAGGTTGTTTCGTGCAGTTGTGTATTTAGCTAGCGGTTTTTTAGCCCTGAAGGTCCGTCGAAACTTGTATCAGTCTGTGTGTTCCGTACTTATGGTTTTGCATTAGATGATAACGGTCATCTTTGGTTAAGCACGGGAGTTGATCATCATCATCCCTACGGCAGCAGCGACGCTTTTTACAGGGTTTGTTTTTAAGGAAAATTTTGGAACGATTTGATCTGATCCTTGTAACTTTTTTGAGGACCACTTTGTGAAAAATCTCCATATTTAAGGTGTGTACTCCTATAGTTGATACTAAAACTGCTCCTATTGAAACGTGGACTATTCGGTTAGTCTTTTTCTGCAGTATGACCGTAATTACCTATCTTGCTAATCGTCGATTGGTTTAACTATAAGGCGTTAGGAACCCATTTGTCAGTTTCCTGTGGCAATATTGCTAAGTTTGTTCGTTTTACTTGCACAACAAAAACAACATTATCTTCTCCGACCATGGCCTTATGAGAATGTTTGACCATCGAGTCCGGGACCTTCGTACTTTTGACGATATGATGGCAGTTGTAGCGAAATAGTATAAATCTAGGTATATCCTTCATTGCGTCTTAGGACAGAATCTCGATTCCATCCGTGTGTCGTCGAATGGGTATCTGTGTTGCAATTCATCGAGCTTTGCCTATCTCCTTTACACGCTCTAAAAATCAATCAGTTTCTCTAGTTTTCTCTCCTTATATATTTCACTTCAGAGCACTGGAAATTTCGAAGTGGTAATTGTTTGCGGTTCAGGCAACAGCATGCTGGGGTGTCAGCTAAAAGATCTGCTTGAGCAAGCCTGCCTGTTGACTTAGAAACTCTGCTTTCTTAGCAAATAGCGAAGGTGTCGCAAGTACTGGTAGTAATCCTTTTCTTGATAACGGTTATTCCTGAAATTCAAACGAGGAAAAAAAGTGCCTTAAACCTTTCCCCGTTTTGGACCGAGTATTTCACCTCTTTTGATGCTTGTTTAACTTCCTTATCAGTTACATATAGGAGCTGTCGTATCAATTTGTAACTTGTCGGCTCAGCATCAGTCATAAACAGCAGCGATGTGATATTGCACTTTTTATTTTCAGAAGCGAACAGCCTCTCATATATTTCATTCCTTTACTATTCAGAGATTTTTTTTCCTTAATGATCTTTATTTTTATGGAGAGCTTCTTCCGCTGGTCTGTTTCTGTGCCTCGGGAAAGTAATGTTCATTTCCAGGAGCACTGTATCGGGACACAAGTTTGTCTTTTTTTTTTTGTTTTTCCAACGTTTCTTCAAGTGCTGTGTAGTGTGTGGTCCGGGTTTCTGTCCAGGTTTCTTCAAGAAGTGCCTAAGAAATTCGGAATTTTGGACAACTTTTCGCTCATTTCTGCCAGTTCCTTTCTGGGAGGAAATGGTACTTTGTCTTTGTTTGCGTGGTAAAGTTTTTTATTTAAGCATCATTAATGCTAAGTTCATTAAGGATCACTTTATTTGTGCCGTCAGAATTCTGAAGTTTTCGTCTATCGACCTGCGAGACATAATTTCACTACTATCAATGTACCACAAGGAACATATGCAGTTCGTTTTTAGATTCTTCCATTGCTAGGAAAATATTTCTAGGAATATGTTTATCAAATAGTTATCGAAATGACTATTACTGTCGTAGATTGTCGCGATATGTGCTATTCCTGCGAAGCTGTCTATCATAAACAGTAGTGGTCATGTTTTCCATTCAGATGGCGAATCATCATTCTGGGAGGAAGAGACCAACCTATCTGGTAAACGTTTAGTTATGGAGTCTTTCCGGTATTAAAATGTGTTTTGTGCTAATGAGATAGACTCTGATAGTAAGCTTTTCCCTACTCTCCTCATGTTATACAATGGTATTTAGCTGTTTTTTTTTAAAGGCATGTACATGTAGTCAGTTGAAGTGGTTTTAGGAAACCACAAGTCAATTTGCGTATTGCCTCAGCGCTTTTTGAAATTTTATTTGTAGTGTTTAACCTGCAGGACCTGTATGTTCGCTTGCTCACGGCAAACTCGGCAGTTGGGCTGTTGGTTGCGATGGTGTCATATTGAGTAAGCCGAGTGGAGCGGATTTCTGGACAATGATTGCTCCACCTGCTGATCTTGACGTTACACCAACGCAGGTGAACAATTTTTTTTAGCACGTTTTGTATCATATGGAGTAGGATAACAATTACAATAGACAGTATATTGGGGCAAAAAGGCGTACAGATGAATTGTCTGACAACCTCGGTGTTATTGTTCAAATCTGTATATCGTTTCTGCACTACAGCGGTGTTACCAATTTTGTTTGACGATATCATGCTCGTTATCATATATATCTTAGTGTTTACGTTACGAAAGATTAATGCAATTTGCCCCAGTCTGAATCTCTCGTTCATGCGGATAACTAGACGAATTTAAAGTTGTATTCGTGTTCAGCTAGGCTTAATCCACCCTTTAGTCCATTGATTTGGAATTTGAGGGTGAGTTGGATGTGGTGGCATAGCGAGCTACTTTGTAGGTGTTTTGTTCTCCAAATGGAATCTACGTTTGGCTGCTTGCTGGTGGTCGTGGATGGGCTCGAGGGAATATTAGTAACAGGAATCTCACTGGTGTAAAGTGGATTGAGGTAGTTTCTACCGCTTCATTTTATTCATTTCTTTTCCATTGTGAAAAATTCGCAAAGACTACTGATGAGCTTCGCTTAATTTCGTATTCATTTTCTATTTCGCTGTTTCTATTCTGTGGTGATGGTTTAAATATTACGGGTAGACAACTACAATGGGATATTTGCATTTGGGATATTTATATATGAGATATTTGCAAAAATGAGACCTCAGGCGAGATTCGAACTCGCGAGTACCCTTTCTAGGTGATCACGTGTTAATCACTGCACCAGTTAGTCCCTTGCTTTATCTTTGTCTGACGTAGAAAAGAAACGCTCTCACCGAATCAAACGCCTCGTTTCGTGTGGTGAATAGCGTGTGAGCCCCTGAAAAAAGTAATCCCGGGTTGGAAACCCAGCTGTGGTTCCGAGTTTTGCTCACATCTCAGCAAAGTGGCTGTATTTCGCGTAATGCTCTGCTATGAAAAATTTATGGGCACTAAATAGAAATTTATATAATATAGGAAGACAGTTGCCATGAAAGATGATTAGATATCACATGAGAAAAATGAGAACATAAAAGGAACAACTAATTGCGAGTGGAATGTGGAATTAAATGTAGTGGACCAGTCGAGATTGTAATTTCACCTATTACTTACCATCGATAACAACAGTGTTGACCTACTTCTGGCTTGAGCTGGCGTGAAAGCAGATAACACGTGAGGGAATTCAGATTTGTGTCAAGGTTGTACACTGCACAAGGAGAATAATTTTATAAGAATAATAAAAAAGCGAGATAGAATTTCAATTTGGTATTGCTGTGAGACGACAGCCCACGAAGTTGTAATGTTTTTATTTTTATTTTTTTTATATAACCCGTCTTTACATCTACCGTGCGGCTTCTAGCACTTTTCATATTCGATTCGATTCCTCGCATCCATCATCCACTGAGATCTTCCAACTTTTACGTGTGGCTTCGATTACTGCTTGAGGATTTTCATTTCATCGCGAATGTCGTAGAATGCTGGTCGAGTCGATTCTTCCTGGAGTCCTGGAGTAGATGAACTAGACCGTTCCCAATTGAATTGCAGAGAGTGATTTTTTCCCGGACAGATCCGGCAGCAATTTTGCGACCCCGGAAGAATGAGAGGCTTGGTTAGCCCGTAGAGTAATCGAATTAGCACCATGCTCGTAATCACCGTCATCACCACCACTGTGCTATCCGCCCCATTAGAGTTGTAACGTACATTAAATAATTATGTAAATAGAAATTAAGGTGACGACAAATCTAGTGGAAGGTCTATTTAGGCATAATAATTCTGAATTAATGATTGAAATTAAGAATGAGTTGATATTCTATGGCATTCCAGACCTATCACACATCGGAGTTCAGTAGTTTAGCAGTTGGTGATAATGTCGTCTGGGCCATCGATTCTAATAACGTACTTCTTCGCTTACGAGGCTTAGCGGCTGGTAATCCAGCTGGAAACTACTGGAGACCTATTTCGTTTGAAACATTTAGGTGAGTTTGCCTTGTTATTCTCCATCTATGCAAATACTCTCGATTTTTAAAACCTACCATTCTAGTTGTTAACGCTGTTCTTTTTAGTATTACAATATAATAAATATATGTGTTCTTCACGTTTCATTCGTAGTGAATCTGTGATCGAAGTTAAGAGATTATTCATATAGTTTATAAAGTAGACACAGAGCAGTTTTGGTTTCAGAGCGATTTCAGTTGATGCTCAGAGTGAACTGTGGGCTATTAACGTAGATAATCGACTCGTACGTCACCAGGTGGGTCCGTTAGATTTTTGTTTCTGTTCTTTTTTCTTTTCGCGATAGTCATATTTCACTACTCAGTTTCCAAATAGGTTTTATTCAAGAGGTCTTATCCAACAAGCCTTTTATAATGGGGCAAGTAAACTGGTTTTATTTGATAGCAATATTCAGAGTGATGTTTACGTAGCAGAGCAGGTTAATGTCTCCGACACAATGGATCCATTCGAAGTGATTTGAAGGCTAAAAATCCTGCGGTTTCCATAGTTTTGTTTTTTCCCCACTCTGCTTTTACTTCATGTTTATATAATTTTGATAACAATTCACTTCGATAAAGATAGTTTATGTTTTGCTTCGATCTAGAATTTTTAGTTATGCATCGTTTTTCTACAGCCTTCTTAAGAATTGGGCCTCGTATTTCACTATTTATGGTTGTTAAATCCATCACTTTTGATAATTCTTTCGCGTTTATGAATTTGTTCGAAGAAGTGACCAATTGATGCTTATAAGTATAGAAAAGTTCTATGCGGTGTTATGTTGTTAAATTTTCTGTTACCGCCTCACTACACTCTCAAAATTTCCGAAGGAGCCTGGCTAATTCCAAACTTTTTTTTACCACTTAAAGTGGTAAAAAATGTTTCATGACTATGGCGTTCATGAATTAAATCTTCATAAATCATGAATAAATTGTTTTAATCAGGTGAATGAAATTTGACAGACACGGATATTAACCACTGTGCCATAGCTCTATACATCGGTAGGCCACCGCGGGTCATTATAAAGGTCATATATGCATTCAGTGACCTCCAGCGATGCTTAATGAAATCGATTTCATGGCGCATCCCTTCTGGAATTGATCAATGCTGATAGCTTTGTCTTTTTTTTACGTCCCAATGTCTAATCTTAACGTATGGCGCTTAATTTCATGTGGCTAATAGTGGAGTGACACATAAGTTGCTTTCGGGATTGGTACAACTCTCCACGGTTCGAACAATTTACCGTAGACCATATGAGCGGTGTGGACCTTCAATAACTGAAGCAGCTAAGGATTTAGAAAATTGTGGTTGTAGAAAGTGCTTTGACTTGTCGTTCTGAAGGTGTACAGGTTCAATGGAAGTGTTTTAGTACATTTTGTCTAGTCATTTTTCGTTTGGATCAGTTTTACTACTAGGTGAATATTGTCCCGTTGAATGTTGTGAGCATATAAAGAATTGAGCATTGTTCAGCTCATCACAGACAGTGAGAATAAGAAAGCTGAAGGAACGGAAGGCAATAAGAGCGTCATATGCTCCACTTTAAGAGATCTGATGAAAGTAAGTCTCAAATTCCTAAATAAGAGGCATAAGCACGTAGTCAGGCTGTACAATTTGTGCAGGAAAGCCAGGTGGATTAAAAAGCATAACGTCAAAAACATCAGGAAAAGCTTGTCGTTTTAGGAACTTTGTGTTGAAGTACATCGATGAAAGCACACTGTGAACACCAAACTCTTAAGAAGTGTCTTCAATGACTTACCATCCTATCATAACGAAAACGTGTCCCTATGTCTGTCGATCATCACCGTTCAAGCGCACCAAACGTATCCACATGGCTTGTTCTTCGACAGCAGTCTTTATATGTTGACTCCTGTTTTCACTAGCAACCGTTACTCGCCGAGAAGAACATTTTTTTGTAATTGTTAAGTGTTAAGTCGTTGCGTTTTCACGGATGCCCGAGGCAGCATATATGCTCGATAAACTGCAAAGTAAATCTATAGAGAAGAAAAGTCTTTTTTCGACAAAGTAAACCACTGGAATTGACATGCATTGGTGTCAATGCGCCTTGTCCACATTGCTACTCACGCGTACACTGAAATCGGGGCAATAACCGCAATTAAAGCGCATTGAAATCAACGTCGTTGTGTGTTAAATATTCAACCCAGCACTGAATTACAGCATACTTTGCAAGTGCTAGAACATCACTGTTCTGCTCGTTCTTGACTCGCTTACCATTATATTATTATTTTCGGGTCTTCAAGACGAATCCTGAGCTACAGGAAAGCGGTTTTCCTGTTCCACGCACGAAACAGATTTCTGAAACCTAGTCGCCATTAGCTCCCTTCTAACGACCACTTTAGGCCTACCAGGTGTCGTAGCACTTTCATTGTCCACATATTTGCATATTCAGCAGCAGTTCTGTCTCGCCTCCGATATTTGACGTTACTCGAAGCTTCCAATTCCCTCTCCCATTTGCAAGGCATGGGACACTCTTGATATTATCTGATTTGAAGGGCGTTCAACAACATTGGTTGATGTTTCGCCTTGCTTACTGCACCCATCCATTTCTGGAAGGCGTAATTGAACGTAGGAACGTGAACTCCGAGAGTTGGACACAAAGTCGATTGTCCTTTCTTCCATTCATTACACATTCTGTGTTCTTAAACGTTTCTCAAACTGCTTGGTTTCTCCTGCTGAGCTGGTGAGGTAAATCGTCCATTGCATTGACCTAGATATACAAAGCTGACGTATTCGGAGTGATTCATTCCTTTAAGTGCGAATTGGGCGCCGCGAACGAATCCCTTTTTCATGAACATCACTTCCTTACCACTCAGCCGAAGGCTCTTTTCCAGTAGACTGTTCACGTCGGCCAGCATTCGTTCTATCTGTGTAATACTTCATCTTTCAAGAGCCATATCATCGACAAGGCTAAGATAACGTAGCTACCGTCTGTCGATATTTTCCTCATTGCTCTTTCAATTTTTGCATGACGTTTTCAAGAGTTGATTAGACAATATCGCGTCATCGATTCACTTTTTTACTCAGATAACAGCATGGTAGATTGGCGAACTTCGAGTTGTGACATTCATATGTGTACTGCTCAAAAAAAACCTCTGGTAGGAAATGCATCCTGCTGGCATAGTATAAATTCTGGTTGACGTAGACGTTTGGGAAATCGTAGCAAAAGTCATAGCTGATCCTCTTTTCATTATCATTTCGAGTGTGATGACTATTCCATCAAGGCGCAGGATGGGAAATATTATAGTATTGTAGCCGTAGGATTTTTTTTATGAAAATATGGGCGCAGATAATAGAGTTCTTGTGGTGCCGATCATAAAGAGCACGGTGCCGGTTCGATCCCACCTCGGTATCGCTGAGCCTATCATCCCTCTAGGGTCAAGAAATTGGTACTGGACTTGTCTGTGGAAAAAAATCACTCTCTGCAATCCAGCAAAGAACGCCTCAGCTCGGCTATCTCAGGACACCAGAGAGAATCGACTCGACCAGCATTCTACGACGTTTAAGGTAAAATGAAAATGAAAATCCTCAAGCAGCATCTGAAGCCACACGTAAAAGTTGAAAGACCTTAGTGGATGATGGGTGCGAGGGAGCGAAGGAACGAATCAAATGTGAGATGTGCTGGGATCCCCACAGTAGATGTGAAACCATAGGTCGTATAAAAATTTTGCAGGATTCCTGTTTGGTGTTGCGAATGCTTTTCCTACTTCTGTGCACCAAGCGTGCGCTACTGCCCTTCTGTTCTATGGTAATCTTTTCCTCCTTCTTTTCAAAGCTTTGTAAGTTCAAAAGAACGCTAGTTGTTGTTTGTACAAGTGTGTCTCCAAGCTGGAGTGTTAGTCCAGGAGCTTCTGGTTACTGGCACGTACTCAGCTTTTTTCTACTCTTCCATGAAAGCGCGGGTTATGTTAGTCGTGTTAGTCGTATTCAAAATCGATGTAGACGATACCAATATCCTATCTTCTCGACGGAACTGGCCAAGAAGTTACTTTAAAAAGCCAAACTTATGACCGTTTTAGAGGCTTCGTTTTTTGACGCATTCACGACGAGGCACAATTTTACCTGATGTGGCAACGTGGGACTACGCTTAAATTCTCTCTTCGCGCAGTATGAATAGAAATTAACCTTCATCGGCCAATACGTTTCTCAGGTTCTCGCCAATGAGTTGATTTCGGTGCTTTTCATTTCTCTAAAATGACTTATCATATCGGTCATCGAAGAGCTTTCGAGGTTATGGAACCGATGCCTTTTAAGTGCGCTGTTTCTGGCTATAAAAGTTCTGCCCAGTTTTGCCATGGTGCTTACGTGTGCTCGTGGGTGACTTGCCGCCCTTCCGCGTGGTAGACGAGAAGCTCATTTGTTGCAGACAATCCTCACCGTCCCGTCACTTGGAGACACTTCATGTGGCCTCGCGGTTAAATAAATAGAAGTATAAAGCTCTCAGCGTTGATCAATCTCGGAGGGATGCGCCATGCATTCGACTTCATTAAGTATCGTTGGAGGTGACTGAATGCACATCTGGCCTTTACAATGACTCGCGGTGACCTACTGATGTATCGAGCCAGTGCTGCTATCCTCCCAACCATGTTCGGTGCCAATTTGCCGACCCAGTGGGATGGAGGGCTTGGTGGGCCATGGGCCCGGGGATCGATTCCACGTGTGTGCTACAGGGTGCCTCCGACGACTGCACCACACGCCCCCTTCAACAACCGCCTCTCAGTTAGCGGACCATAATCATCTATTGAGTGTGATCACCCGTTGTCTGGGACTATGAGCGTATTTTGAGCGTGAAAATGTCCAGCATCAATCAAATTTAAATATCTCGGAGAAATCCTCTCAAATCAATTACACATGGTTGGATTTGACAGCAATGGAACTCGACATTCGCGGAACTTTTTGACTTTGGACCAACTTCTCTGTGTCTTCTCCATCGATGACTGCAAATAGTCTTCCGCGGAACACGGCAGTGGGCTGGCCGAAGGCCTTTCAGCCAAGCATTCACTCTGATGCAGCGTCCCTACGTCGTGGTAAGCGTTTCTGAATTGAGATTTCTGACAACTGAAATGAGTGAACCTTGCCATTTTAATTAGATCCTACTCTTCATTTTTATCCAAAATGAAGGCGAAAATTTGGGTGTTTCTTTCCACGGTTATTTCTTTAGTTCTTTCTTTTCCTAATTCGTTTCATGCTTTGAAATCGCGTTCTAAATATAACATGGATCCCTGTTAGTCATTCGATAGCTCATTTGGCATGGAATTTCTCAAGGAAAGCATGGATTATCCACACATGTAAAGGATTAACGTAAACGAGCTAGTTGATACGAATTCTGTCACGAAAATTGTCAGCATAAAAAGCGCAAGAATGAAGTTGTGTACTGAGAAATGAACGTGTACTTTTCCCACTAGTTTACTTAACTTAGTTAACTTTAATTACTTGCAACTGCGAGGAGATCATTTGTATAGGGACCTTTTACTAAACCTTGGAATAAAGAAAGTGGTGAACTTGCGAATTGCCTGAAAGCATTACAAAATCACTAGGAGTTCGATGGTTTTACGACCATTTTTCGGTACGTAAATGACTCAATTTTGTGGTCCCATTAAAAAGCCGCTTCTGGGCACCACTTTTGACGAGCAGCGTTTAGTTTGCTGTTGTCTTGGAACCGGTAGAAGTAGAAACTACAAAAAAAAATGCTAAGGAAATGGTTTTAAATTCTTTTTATGTCTTCAGCTTTACCGTTCACCTTGAACAGACTTCCTTCGCAATGTTCTTCTTATGCGATAGGCGTCTCGTCCATAGCACTACACATTTTTATCGCTGTTCTATCCGGCAGTATTACGAACATAATAAGAACAAAAATGCTTTCCACTTCATCTCCGTCGAACAATATTTTCAGAGGTCATCTGTCTCAGTGTAATGTACTGAGGCATTCTTGGAGAGTCGTTTGGTTCCTTCCATTGACAGCGTTTCCAATTCCACTATGTTAGCCATTTCTCCAGATGCTTCCTTCCAAGATTTGTCTTTGAGGTTTTTTGCAGCTCTCAATGTGCTCAATTCAAAAGCCTTTTTATAATGCACATTTTTTCATGAAAGGACGATGTTTGAGCGTCAAACATCATCCCTTAACAAAACAACAAAGCTGCTTTTCCAATGGAAATCGCTTTTTATCAGTATGTCGACGAGAGAAGCAACCGTACTCGCATCGGATTTCTCCTTCAAACGGCTCTCAACCGTTTCAGTAATTCATATCTTGTTCTTCTTCAGAATAGCATCCATTCTGAATACGGCATATTTGCGAAGATGTTACAATATTTCGGAACTCGAGTTAAATCGATATTTGTCATACAAAGTTCCATTACTGTGACGAAATCACGACCTAAATATAAGTCGATTATTTTTTGTTGATAAAAAATTAGCGCGGTTTGTTTACAGTGTGCTTTCTTGGAGTTTTAGTCGAGAAGCTTTAAATTTTTCAATAATTTTAGTCTGTCCTGCGTTATAGTTATTTTCCTAAGTGAGTGGTAGGAGTTCACTCGTTCTTTTTTACGCCTTCTAATTTTCCTCGTAGACCAGCTAAGGCGGCGCTGCATTCATTATTTTATTTGAGGGAATAGGGCTATCGGATTTGACAAAGCTCAAGAGATTAAAAAGGCAGGAGGCTTAGGGACTGAGAAATAAAATTCTGTTTGTTGATTTTCAGCAGTTCTTTTCTTTATCATAAACGCACTCCATCCATAGAAATATATTGTTATTAACTTGGTGAACATTCCACCAAAGCGGATATCTTAATTACGAATATTTGACTGGATATTGAATATTGATAAATGTATTTAATCCTTTCACGATCGCTGCCATTTTTGTGTGTCGTGCTCGTCCGACCGCGTGTCATACAGTCGCAATCAGAATGCGCATTGAAACCAAAGTGTGCGGTCCATGAACTCGCGCAAGAGTACCGACGCACTGGTTTCTTGAGTCTATTGTTCTACTGTTCGGTTTCCTTGCAATTTTTCCATTATATAAAATAGACATCGTTAGCTTCTCCTCATAATTTTGTATGATCGGTGAAGTTTATTTCTGTGCCTCTTTCACTTTTTTCATATCCACCGACTCTATTCCACCGCCCGAAACGGTCTGTTGCAAGTATAGCTGAGAATGTCTGTCTATGGACCAGCATCAGTATAAAATCTGTGTCGAGAAGCCACCGATTGGCTGCAAAATGTCGTAAAGGTGTTATGTGGTCAAAAACTAATGTATCAACGCGAAAATATTGGAAGAGAAGCAGTTTTGGCCAACAATATGCACTAAATAGTTACAAACGAAAAGGTTCAACCGTTTCCCGACCACGGCAGTTTTCAGTTGTGCGCTCGTCGGACTGCCACGTGTCTTTAGAGGCCAGTTGAAATGCGCATTGAAATCAAGATATACTAGGATAACTGGACAGCCCTTCCTTACTGATTGTGCGAGCTCCAGCATAACTTCCATTTTTCGGAGCTGTGCTGGTTTAGCCATTGTAGTTCTCTGGAGTCCCGAGATCAGCCCGAAGTGTCTTGATGGAAACGCCAGACTTCTTTTCAGCTTTGGAGACCCTGCCAGGGGATGAGTCTCCCCGCTGTGTGTCGTAGTCCGACACCCAGGAACACTTCACAGCCACGATAATGCCGTAAATCGTTAGGAGGAAATCAAGATATACGGTCCGAAAAGTAAAGCAGCGTACATATTGAAATCAATGCGCATTGTCTTGAGAGGGTTAATGAATATTTTCACTCTTTACTATTGGCATTCCTAACATCTTGCCTTTTGTATGCTTCCTGTGAACTGTTCTCTATACAGTCGTTCACTTCTATCCTCCTAATAAATCGAAAAAAAAACGTCGTCTATGTTACTTATTAAAGACGTAGTAGTTAGAAGTTCTTCGCAGTACACACGTGGTCGTTGTTCCAATTCTATGCCGTACCAAAACAGGCCTGTCATTCATCCGGATTTGGTAAATTGGTGACAGGCTTGTATAGGAGGACAAAAATAGCCCGACAGGTCATTGTATAAGCCAAGTATGCATTCAGTCACCTCTACGACAGTCAAAGGAGTGGAATCTATGGAACATCTCCATCTAGTTGATCAATGCAGTGCAATTCGTCTCCTCTATCGCTTAACTCTATAGCAAGCATTTTCTTCCATTTCAAGGGCTTCAACGAGGTGTCACAGTGAGATAGTGAACTGGGTTATCGAGATACTTGAAATCTCCTAGAACACTTTAACAAGCACTCATTATGACTGTGGCTGTGAATTTCCCCTCAACTTTAGAAAAACTCCAATCCAATTTCAGATTATCAAGGAGATTATTTGATCGCTGTACTTTCTTGGAAGCGCTGAGAAAATTTTAAAAGAAAGGGAATCAGTAGAATTAATATCAGCTAAGTATTTAAAGATATTTGGACGTTTGAAGAATTTCGTGTGATTCGGGTTGTGGTTTGTTATAAAAATTTAGGATTAGGGCTTAGATTTTAAATTCAATAGATCTTCAAAGACTATGAACTTGAGCAGTCTGCAGGTACTTTTGTAACAGTTGGAGTATTTTTTTGAAATGCTTTAAAATATTCAATATAGGACTGAACTTTAGAATGCAAGTGACCTGATTCATGATGTTATTGGCGACGCATTCCGTGCTGCAAAACTCCTCAACTACACTCAGGCACTGGACGAAATGGATAAACCAGAGCGATGGCAGAGTGGGTTTCCCCAACCCTTTACATCTACACTCGACCTTTTCCTGTCGACTTATAGATATTCTTCACTCTGCTTTTTTGCTAGATTATGAGATTTTGTTTTCTGTTCTAGAGCTTTATTTATCTTGTATTTGGATAACAACCTTCGGTTTTCATTCATCATCGAGCTGTGGGAACACGCTTATGCTTAAGTTTAGGCTTACGATTAAGAAGAGCACCTTCAACACACAATATTATGCTTCAGGAACTTCACTTCTAGTGATGGCATTGAGTCCTCGCTCTTATCCGCTCTCTACGACTGCCAATTTTGAAAAATCCTTGCGTTAGTAATAACACTAGTAATAGCAAAAAATGCAGTGGTACCCTACTATAAAGAAAGAAAAGGCAGTAAATAAGAGTTGAAACATTGTGATTTCGAGTGCAGCTTCAAATTAACTGGGTTTAATGCCGAGTTGTGCTCCCCAGATTATTCCCTTTGACGGATGGTTACTGATAAGGCCGTTATTGTAAAAAAGTGGCTGAGAGAAAGGCAAGGCACGGTGCTCGGTGCTCCCTTTGGTGAAATGTGACTTTGGCGCTTTGGAAAGTATAATATTGGGAAATGGTCTGTCTTTATAATTGCATTCTGTATTGTTAAACCACAGTACACTAGCGGCTTACAAAATATTTCAAGCTAGTTGCATTTCTCTTACAAAGAACACAATTAGCTTGAAGCTGCGCAACTGACCCTTTTCGGATTCCAGAGATTCTAGTCGATTTTCTTTAAATTCTGAACTACGTGAACTACTCCACCCTCAAAAGATGCATGTAGCGCAGTGCCAATGTTTAACGAAGTCGAATGCACGGTGGACCCCTCACGGATTGATCAACGCCGAAAACTTTTTTCTTGTTCTACCCTTGATATTTCGCCATAATTCTTCTTTGTATCTAAAAGTATCTTCATCTATATGGTCTTGTCTCCATATTTTCTACTACTTTTTGCAAATGATGTCTGATTTGCTAGATTTCTATTGCAATCTTCTTGAATTCTTGAGCTCAAGATATTTCATTAGTAATTCCTAAATACTTTGAGAAATATACAGATTAGTTTATATCTCTTACAGTCCTACAACAGCAATGGAATAACCATAAGCCTAAACGACTCTTTATGTTAAGCTTTAAATAGTGCTGAGTTTCAACCATAACCTCTTTCTCAAGGGAAGTTGTTGAATTCTTCTTCATCTTTTTTTTTCTTGTTGGAAATTTTTTCTAATAGCTCTAAATACAAAACCAATTTCCGATTAAATTAATGTCATATTGGCCACTATGCTACATTTGTAACCTAAGTGTTTTTATTTTATTAATAGATTATGGTTATGTACAACAGCATGGTGTAGCACAATAGTCAGTGATGCCAGTGATCAGGAATCAAAGGCGCTACTTCGATTCGCGCACAAACGCTCTCCTCCAATCCACGTGAGAACGCCTTTACTCGGCTGTCTCCACTATTTCAAGGAAAATTGACTCCAGCAGCATTCTGCTACATTCATGAAGAAGACGAACTGCTCAACGAGCAACCGGAACAACACGAGGAATGTTCGAAGACCTCTGTGAAGAATGAATGCGAGGAAAAGGATTCGAATGCAAGACGTTCTGCGTTCCACCTAGTAGATATGACGACGGGTCATGTAAGGTGAAGAAAGTGCGCGTACACCATCAATTTTCAAATTAAAGACAGTTCATTTAATAAAGTTCAATTTCTGTTTCAATAATTGTTGATCTTTCAAATTTTGTACTTCTTCTCGTTTTTTAAACAATTGTTTGTCACTAAATGCCAGAAGGATTGTAGGTAAAAGTTTTTATTTTCCCTTTTTTTTAAAAATATGCTTTGGAAGGTAAACGGCTTGTCTACCCGGCTGGTCTACCCGTCGTGTCATACTATAGTGAGAATTTTGTTTCCTATGGAAGCACTCGTTTCCCTTATGAATACCTCTGCGCTAAAATAGTCCACTCTTCAGCAGATGCTTTTTATTTTGAAATCATGGATTTGGAAAGAATTCTATATGTTGAAATTCATGTTTGCTGAAACCTGCTGATGTTTTCCATTTCGGCTCTATAAACTCTGTCTACATTACGTCATGACAAGCGATTTCCTACAAAACAAATGTTCTGCTAACTCTTTTTCCTACTGTGTTAGTCAGTGAAGTCCTGCATAGATCTCCAGGTGAAATTAACAATTTGAACTTCACCTTCCCTGCTTACAAATTTTTTCTCTCCTTTATTGATCTGCAATTTGCAAATCTGAATTGATTATAGCAGTTACCTTAGAGAATTGAGTAGATATTTACATGTACGATAATGTGTGTAATAAATTTGGTTTAAATGGCTCGATTGGATGAGAGTTTATTTAGAGGGCATCCTCTCACGCATTTCATATGAGCAACGGCTAGCTATTTATGAGCACCACTTCAGTTTGAGAACAAGTAAGTAGCTGATTTTCCTACGGTCGTCGCCTGTGTATATCATAGAACATCGCTATGATGTGGTCGGAATTACCTCGGTGATTTGTGCTTTGTGAAGTCGACACGATTTATTGCCTTTCTCGCTGATGCTTATCTTCTGAATGTATGTACATGTATGTGTCTCTCTGTGTACATTCTTTTATTGCTACGATTTCTATCTATTGATCATAAGATAGCTGTTGTTTTAAGTTTCGAACACCCTCACCCTGCGCTCCTGTCGCCTACACCATTCTCGTTGACAGTCTCGTCGCCTACAAACTGAGTTTCTCAGGGCACACGCGCAGATGGATGGTGTAGGGAGATAGCTGAAGATTGTCCAAAAAAGCATCTTTCGTGTTATTTGGTTTGAACGAAGGGACGATTTTTGAGTTCTGCGCCAAAAAATAAGGCAACGTGATGTAGAGCACTTATCGAAAACCTGAGAAAGAAATGAACCTCTTAAACTTAGTAGGAACAGAAATTACACGGTATACTTTGTCCATACGTTGACAATTAACAGCACAACAACGATCATAAAAATGCCTATTGGACTTTTTCCTTCTAGTTTCTTCTATAACCACTCCTACTTTTACTTATAAGTCAACTCTCTAACCATCCGCTGGACTTATTCTACTTGAAATTAATATCCGACAGGTTGTAAAATCACATAGCACTCTGGTCATTCGTATTTGAAAAACGATTCAGCAAAATAACATGTCTGGTCGAAGCCGTTCACCCATTTGCATAGATAAGGACAGTGCTCTATTAAGACGAAAAGCGCTTACGTTTTGAGGGAAAATTTCAATCAAACCATTTTGCCCACAGCATCGTTAATTTTTAAGAAAGTGGGGATCGTCAACAAGCTTGAGAACTTAGGAAAAAGAACTGAATGCGCATAAATCACAATGAAAATCAGTTTCTGGAAAACCTACGGTAACAAGGCGGATGACAAAAACCGACACGGCCAACGAATCAGCTACATTCTCTAATTACGCCGAAGACATCATGATTGTACGCAGAATGTTTAGCGAACACGGAAAATGAGATAAATGGGAACTTGTACAGAGCATGTGCACCTTCAAGCCTCATTCAACCTACCGATCAACTGATGGACATAGAACCTTGTGATGACCATTCAAACTCCTCCCAGCGGAATGCTGTGTACTTACACTAGCCACTCGATTGACATCGAGATCACGGTGCCAATTTAAGCACACCTCTCTATCCCCACAGATATCTTTAGCAATATTCTCTGCAATATAACGGGCACTTCATGCGAAATTGCGCAATTCAGACTTTCGTGTTTTTCAGATTTTCGAAAAAAAAAAATATCTTATCTTCGAGATCGAATGGGTACACATCGAAAACAGAACATGGATTGGCCCGGTCCTATAGTGAGAAAAAGTGCCAAATGTTGGAGAACGAGATTGATTCAATGCGAACCCAACCAAACTGCAGAAGCTTTTCCATACCTGTGCGAACAGTTTTGCTACTCATGTTTACCGGCTGTATTCGAACTATAAATGACTTATGGACCGCAGAATGGTGCTTATAGACGTCAAGAAATACCACCATTGTGGATAACAAGTGTGGGAGAGGAAATGAATGAAAATATTGGGTGGGACATATAATTCGATGTCACAGGATATTAAAATATGAGAGAAATATAACTTTAATGATGCTGAGATATTTGCAAAACTCCGGATCACTGGTGTCTGCAGTGGTGAACGAACGCATTGTTGTCGTTTCCGGGGAGTAACACGTTCATCACCACACCATGCGGGTCCTTCGTTTCGCCTGTCTCTCAGCTAGTTCTATCGATCTTTTGCCATCAGCAATCATCCGTCAGCGGGATTGATCTGGGAAGCCCAAATCGGCAACGAACCCAGTTAAGCCAAGGCTGCAGTTATAATCACAATTTTAACTTATTATTTACTGCCTACTCTTTTTAATGGTAAGGTATATATTGCGAAATATAACTTTAATGATGCTGAGATATTTGCAAAACTCCTGACCGTATGGTGTGGTGGTACTTTTACTGGTACAATACTTCTTTTCTAAGCCTTCCATGGAGCTTCTTCCTTTCAACGCAGAAATTGCAAGTCTGCTCGATCCACGCGAAGAAGAAGGAAGAATATTTTATGCATTCATAACATTTTTTAGTTAGTAGCCTCGAAATAGCAAAGCGGAAAAAAACCTAAATTTTCGACTTTGATTTTGGCTTTCTACCAAGATGTAACCGAACGTTTTTCCTCAGCAGCAGATTTTTAGCGTGGACTGTTGGAATACTAATAGTGTCAGCGTGTTCGTTTTCGGCACCACTGGGGATGTTGGCGTTGCCGTGTCTGAGCAAAGTTCTCTACGAACGGATCATGGTTCTCCTAATAGCACTTGGGATCGGAGCATTGAGCGGATCGTCTATATTCATAATGATACCCCAGGTGTGACCTTAGATGCTTTTGCAATAACTGAACAACTTACAAAAGATTTCCACAGACATGTATTTATGATGTTCCACGATTTTCCCTTATAGCAGTTGTTATAGACATCTTGACCAACATTATCTCTTTGGCTCATGAACAGAGTAAGAAATTAAGGATGAGTGCCAAGGTTAACCATAAGACATAGGGAAGTCACTAAGTTCTAGAACGAGTTTTCGCATGTGTTCATTCTAACTCGATCTTATAAATTCGTTGGCAGCTTCTAATTATGAAATCTTTTTTTGGTCACAGCAACTTTGAGAACTTTCACCAACCGCTAGAGGTGACTTTGTGATAAAACCTTAGATTTTGCAGTGTATGTTTTCTATTTCATCACATGCAGCTATAACACCTGGAACAAGGAGCAAAGCAATCTGATGTGGATACATTTACATGAGTGCTAAAGAAATGCTTCACATTAAGCGCAGTTTTTTATGTTTTGTGAGTTGTGGATACAGATCATGTTTCACCACTTCTATTGACACTATATCGGTGGTACATCCTTCCATAATCTGGAGCGAGTTTGAAGTGCCGATGAAGCTCTGCGAGACATGTTCATGTAGAACAAAAGCGGTCATTTATGAATACTGCATTAGTTCAATCTCCGTAAGTTGACAAGCTTGGGAAGTCACACTTAAATGACCATCTTATCTATAAATCAGCCAAACCTTTAAGAATGTGGTTGCTATATTTCGGGTACTATTTAATCAGATACTACCTAGTATGAATATGATCTCCGACTTGGTCGAGAATGCACCAATTATGCTTCTATTATTTTAGCCATTTTAGCCCACCCAAGACCAAACGTTCCCATTAGACTTCGCTCACTCTGCTACTACAAGTAGCATTACAATTATCGTTCACACCCTCTTATTTCTGCTGTTTTTAGCCTAAATGTAACAAGGACACTCGCCTTAATCTGGCTTGGTGGAGTTGGTTTAATAATAACCACTTTTCGACTCCTTTGGATTGATGTGGACGTCCCGTGGTAGAAACCAGCCAAACAGTCTTCCATGAGCCTTAATGTCCCTCATGAACAGGATTAGCGAACATTGGACGAAAGACAGCCATGCGAGCAAGCGGTGGTACAGGTGATACGTCAATCACAGGAGAAACATGAATCCAACTCCTTGAATTCACGTATATTTCGGAACAACTATATGGTTGCTTTTTATCCACATTCCTTGTTTCTCTTCTCTTTGAGGAACTCCACGGCACCTCACGACTGGGTGACTGTATATCTCTCACATGTAAGGGATCTGTTAGATTAGAAAGTGTATTAAGTAGAAACCTAAGTTCAGATTTACTATGGTTCGTAAACTTTACTTTTAATCAGGCTTTTCATCTCACTGAACTTGACGACTTCAATTATCACTCAAAATCGACATTAATCGTTGCTGCTCTTTATATGTTTTTTTCGGTGGATCGGATATTACAGTACGCTCTGGAACTAAGAAGGGTTAGTTTACTAACAGCTTCTTAGAACTTATTCCCGTTTGTATTAATTCAATAATAATAATAATAGAAGTGATTGAACTTATCACATAAACAATGGGGTTGGAAACCAAATGTTATTTTTATTATTCTAATTTAATGAAAAAATTATGAGTGCATTAATTAAAAGGTTTCGTGTCATTCAAATCAGCTTATTTTAAGCGCGCACAGGTGAAAAGGAAAGTGCACACCTCTACCATTGCTTCAATCATGAATTCACCTGCGGTAAAGGTATTCTAAGACATTTTTTTTACAATGTCTTCTTCATTGTTTTGTGAATAACAAATTCTCCTAAGTGTTTTGTAGATGTGTAGCAGATTCAACAAATCTAAGTAGAACAGTTCTTTTCTTACTTACTTGGATGCTTGGATGGCCAGTCCTTACTCGCAGTTCAGGTCCCAGCGTAATTTCCGTTTCTTCTGAGTTTTGCTAGTTTAGCCACTGCGGTTCCTTGGAGACCCAAGGTCAGCCCTGCCCACAACCACACGCAGTCAGCTTGTGAATCAGAGGAAAATTTGCCAACAAGCAACTGCTTTGATACCAGGACGGTGGTGGATCCTGGCATTAATTTACTCTTAGCCGTGCATACGGATGAAAACGTTGTGCTCCATTTTAGCTTGGGAAACTTTGCCTCCTGCCTCCTGTAATGCTAAAAAGATAAACCTCCCGCTGCACACCGCAGCCCGACACCCAGGAAAACCTCGCAGTCACGATGAGTTGGCAAAACTTGGGAAGATAGTTTCGTATACTCTTCGAAAATTCCGTATATTTCGAAGTTATAAAGCAAGCTGTATTGCGAAGTGTTAACCTACTATTAAAACACGGTCGACACTTTTTGCAAGAGGTTTCGGCGAATTTATGCAAGAGACATTATTGAAAAGTTCATGAACAATTTCAAGTGCTTTTCATTATCTACAGCCTCGTAGCACTACGGCTAAGGCTATGGTCGCAGTTGGACAGCTTCCGAATGATGGATCAATTGAGAAACATGGGAAAAATAATTATTCCGAGAAAATCCGTAATATCGAAGAGAAGGAGAAGGCTGAGCTGGCGGTTAGTCGGAAAGGCTTTTTGGAACGTATTTTTCACTATTTACTATTTTCTTCCAACTACAATGTAATACGATGTTTTTCTTCAGTAAGCAGACACGTGGTTGTTATTATAGAATTCATTGGGATACAATAACTGACGTTTCTTTTTTTTTCGTTTTCTGTCTCTCAGTCCTCGCCTATGTATTATTCTATGCGGCTACTATCCACCAACTAACTTAAATACTTACAACAAATAAACGGCTCTGAAGAAGACGAAGCCGCCGAAACGTCAGTTATTCTATCCTAGGAAATTCTATAATGATAACTTCGTGTCTGCTTGTTGAAGAAAAGCATCGAATTATCAATCAATGCCGAGGTTAACATATTGGGCCTATTTATATTGCAAATTAAAGAATGTTACTGCATATGCATTTCTTTCTCTTGACAATTTTCTCTCGTTATGAACATGTTTCAGGAGGAGGTGGAAATTGCCATGTTGAGTAACGCTCTAGCCAGGACGGTTAGTGTCGCCGTTCTATTTAAACTATTTCCTTTAGATAATTTCTGGAAATAATCATCAATTAAGCTTGTCTTGGAATCTGTGCGTAAGCTCGACTCTACAATAGCAAGTACGGTTTGTAAACATTTTATTTCAGTTTTCAACCCGCCGCCGTGTTGCAGTAATGAGCGCTGTTGACGGCATTGAGATCAGAGATGCGACTCGCAAAGAAGGAGAAACTAATGTAAGCTCAGCGTCATAGTAGCGAAGAATTACGGGATAGGTAACATCCAGGAATATGACATATAAATTGCGATAATTATTATTTCTTGGAGGTGATCTTTGAGGACGAGGGAGTTATGTGCACTTCGTCTTAAAGTGACACCTATAGGAGTTGTTTGCCAATAGCATTAAATCACATCCTGTGCGAGAATAATGACTTTTATATCAAAATCTCCGATATGCCTCTGTATCCCATGCGTCCCTAGTGGTGTGCCTTGTCTTGCTTTTCGTTTGCCATCTAGGTGTTTTTTTATGCGGATACATAAGGGTCTGCCCATTTGGTCAATATATTCGTCTCCGCAAGCACCACAAGAGATTAGGTATATCGTACCTGAACGCATGCAGTCACCGTCCCTGCCATAAGGGCAAATTACACAATTCTGTGTTTCACATAGACGGCCGCATAGGCAATTACGAACTAATTGACGACGAAGAGTATCGGCTGGCATTTCTACTACCGCAACCGATTCCTCTAGACTTGCCCTTCTTAAGCATCGTTTTATAACTACGCTTACTTCATCGCTTATAAAAGGCAACATAAACGGGATTTTCTTTTGGCCAAGTGTTTGGTTTGGGACGTCGCTCTCCTTTTAAGCGTATCTCTCGGGTTACTACTTCGTAGCCGTTGGAGGTGACTATTTGCCGAGCAAAGTCGCTCGACTCCTATAATTCCCTCTTCGTCCACATGGACGTGGGTGCTCGAAGCATGTTTCTCACAATCGCCCTCTTTGCGTCTGAAGGGTGGAAAGAAAGGAAATGAACGAGGATGTTTTTGCTACTTGGTTTTCGGTACCATTTTGTCGTGTAACCGCTACTTGATAAGTTGACTTGAAAGTTAAGAAATGGAAGCCAGTTCTCTTTCGGTTTCCCCCAGGTGAAGCTGATGTACTCAGACTGCTCATTCAATAACTCAAAGCATTTGTCCATCTCTTTCTGAGTAGAGAAAATAACAAATCATCTATGTATCTGCAGTTCAGTAGCCGCCGGTGATCGATAACAGGGGCTTCTATTCTAGACATAAACACAATGGCAAAGCTTGGTGCCAATCGCTGTCCCATTGCCAACCCTCTTATTTGTGCGAAATATTTCCCAGACCATCTGAAGGTCGAGCAGTTTAGGCACTCTTTTAAGAGAGCCATGAGCTGCTGAATAGACAAGCCATGCATGTGGATTCCTCCTTTATGTTTAACAAGAAGTTCGTGGATGGCTCTCATTGTGGAGTCATTCGATACGTTGGTGCAGAGCGCAGGAACGTCGAAAGACTCCATCACGTACGCGTTGTTAGGAGACGCGTTACGTAGACGTTCTAAGAGCATTTGGGTGTTCGTGAGATGAGCTGGGATGTGGTTAAGCAGCTGGGTGAATATTAGGCTTGGAAACCATGTAATACCATCCGTTTGCCCGTTTACGCAGTTGATGATGAGTCTAACCTTGAAGGATGTTGGGTTGGTTGACCCAAGATCATCAGCTGATACTAACTTATGTGTTTTAACAAGTAAGTATAAAACGAGACACGTCGGGCTATCTACTTTATAGTGCGAGATAACAGATGGTTTGAAGACTGCTGTCTTTGCATTTTGACCCATTGGCTGTTAAGCTTTCGGTATTGTTTTTTGTATTCCTTTTCAGATGATGGGCGATAAAGGGTAGCATCACTAAGATGTACCTTGGTTATCTCCACATCTAACAGGCAAGGAATAACTACAGACTCTCCTCCCTTATCACTAACTGATACTCTAATGGTCATCCAATGGTCTTTGAATTAATTAAATCTCTACTTTCTGGCAGACCACATTTTTGTGCGGCTGTAAGGTTGGAGACAAACTTTCTACCGCTATAGTGATTTAGGGTTTTGAGAACGTCGTCCGATAAAGATGCGGAATTTCATACCAACCTCCACGTTACGGTCTTGCTGTCTAGAAAACGCTGTAGGAAAAAGAGACGGTAGAAGTCTCGCCACTTCTTGACCTTCCTTTTTATTCAATATTTCCTCCTTGGCCTGATAGCGGAGTCGATCTTGTAGCTCACACAAATTGCACGCCGCGATCCTACGCACGGTTGCCTTAGAAATAGGCTGTGATGGTGCAAAGCTTGGGCACAATTCTAACATTGAGCACGCGTTCTCAGGAATGGTCATACCCTCAAGTACGGTGACCCTGGATTTTTTGGTGCATTGTCAACAGTATTTTAACTGCTATCAGAAGCTCAAATAATTTTAAATATATATATATATATATATGTATATACGCATTCACAGATTTCCGTCATACGAGGCATCTCGAGCCGGTTAGTCGCGAGGCTACGTCGCGCGTCCCCAGGTGACGGATAGGGGTTGATCCCGGAACAAAAGCGACCCTTGCTTCCCTGAGACGCAGGTGGATCCAGAGGATTGGCTACCTGTTTCGCTGATTTGGCACATACCATACTTTCTGTATTTGCTAGGCGTATTAAAGCATGCGTGTGTGGGTGCGTTCTCGCCTATACGGATTGTACTCTAAGAGTTAACTCGGCCCAAAAGAGGCAGTTAGAAGTCGCCTCCAACAAATAAGCTCCATGTCCACTCCGGGAGAGCCTGGCAAGCTATCCGTGAGTATACCCAGCCCCCACGTTCAGAGTCCATCAAACTATACGTGGGTATCGAAAATGTTAAATACAGTAAGAACAAAACGGGTCTAATTCTCCTGACTCCAAAAGAGCCTCCAGTTTCGCAGCGTTGGGAAGGGCAAGTGCGGAGAGGCTGCTAATACCTCAGTGCCAATGGAAGCTGCCTGGATTTCAAAGAACTATTGTGACGATCTGTACCTACAATGCACGTACACTTGCATCCGAGTTCTCGACAGAAGACTTGTCCATGCAAGCAAGAAAGATAAGGTACAACGTCATCGGCCTGGTCGAGACGAGAAGACGCCAGCCTTTCAACGCCGTCTATGACACTGGAGAAGAACTGTTTCTCGGAACATGCGACAGCAGAGGAGTCGGCGGCGTCGGCGTTATCACTAGCAAGAGTTTGTCCATGAACATCGATTCATTCGAACAGCTTACAACCCGAACCGGACGTTTACGATTAAAAAATGTGGATCAATACCGGTTTTGACAATCTTCGTCGTTTACGCGCCGACATCAAGCTATGACGAAAAAAAAGTCGAAGTCGAAGTCGAAGAAAATGTCGAAAAAGTCTATGTGGACTTGGAGACGTTCTGCAGAGAGGACCATACATTCATCAAGGTCATCATCGGGGATTTCAATGCCATGATTGGACAAAGAAGAACATCTGAAGAACGTCACATTGAGATCTATGGATTGGAATGGAACGAACAGGGTGATCGGCTGAGTTTATCATGACGAACTAAGACCATCCACGGTAACTCGCAGTTCCAGAAGCCCCAATCTCAGCACTGGACGTAGGAGCCTTCCAATGGAGAGTACCATAGCGAAATAGACGACAACATAGTAAATAGAAAGTTTTGTCTAACCGATGTCGCTGTTGTTCCAAAATTCTACACAAATTCCGAACATCGCCTTCTTCGTGCAAGATTCTATTTCTCGCGGAAAGGAGAAAAGCCACTAAATTCAAAAACCAAAGTCCCAGAACCACCGTAAACTGGTACTTATTCAATTCATTAGTCGGATATTGTTGCCGTTGTCGATAACATCGACGAAGAATACGATTGGCTGATTCAACATTTTCACATTGGCCAATTACGTGACCAAGATTATTGCACTCCGACCTCCAGACGGAATAGTTACAGCGTCCAGAAAGGCAGTGGAGAAAATCATTCACGAATACTACTCACATCTCTTCGATTGTCACGTCCACCTTCCGTCATAGGAAATAAAGGAGAATGGATACCTTGTACCACCGGTTTTCCCTTCCGAAATCCGACATGCCATTTCATTGGTGAAAAGTCGAACAACACCAGGTCCGGGCGGCATAAGATCAGAACACCTGAAGAACCTTCTGCCAGTCCTTGTAAACACATTGGCTCGGCTCTTCACACGTTACCTGTCTGAATGCATAGTCCCTACTCAGTGGAAGACCAGCAAGACCGTGTTATTGTTCAAGAATTGTGACCTACGCGATGTAGGCAACTATCACCTAATCTGCTTGCTGCCTGTCGTCTACAAACTTTTCACTCGAGTCATCCTAAGCAAGATTGACAGAACACTGCGCGAAGGACGGCCATGTAGGCAAGCAGGGTTTCGAAAAGGATTTAGTACGATGAACCACATCCACACGATTACAATGCTCGTTTAAGTATCGCGAGAGTACAAAAGACCGCTCTGTCTCACTTTCATTAATTTACAGAAGTCCTTTGATTCAAATGAGTCACATCATCTTCGCTTTGTTGATCACACCGCCTTTATAACACCAAACAATAACTAAGCGGAACGTACGCTTGCCGACTTTAATAAAGCCTGTGGAAAGGTTGGTCTTCGACTAGATCTCATAAACATGATGTTTATGAAGAACGGATTGGTTTCGCATGCCCCATTCAAACTCAACGGAACGAATTTCTCCGAATGCTCCAGTTATATTTATCTTGGTCAGGAAATCAATATGATGAGCGACCCAGCTCCAGAGCTGAGCACAAGGAAACGAGCTCCTTGGAAAGCTTTCAATAGCATCGACGGTGTAGCGAAGAGGATAAAGAACACCCGACTCCGTGCCCATGTTTTCGACTCAACGGTACTTCCTACCCTAACGAATGCGTCATAAACCTGATAGCTGCGTAAGCAGGATGAAGGGTCACTCAGCGTTATGGAACGCGCAGTGGAAAGGACGATGCTACGAGTATCCCGTTCCACACAAGTAAGGGATGGGATCTGAAGCTCAAATCTGCGCTAGTGATCAAAAACCAAAGATGTCGTTCTGCACGCCAAAGTGTCGAAGATAAGGTGGGCCGGACACGTAATGTGTATGAATGACAACCGATGGACAAGAGCCGTTAGTGACTGGATTGCTTAGGATGCCAAGCGTAC